ACAATGTTGTGGGAAATTAATTATGTAGAATAATTTTCAAAAATTTGGAAGGAGGGACTATGTAACACTTATTATAGTATCTTATTGTTCATTTGCTTATTTATGTCTTATTTTAAGCTCTCCGTTGGTAGGGAACATATTTTTTTAATTTTTTTTCTTTTGGTGAAGCCTTAATATATTTAAAAAAAATCTTTGTGTCTTCTGGAACTAGAATGTACTGGAAGCATGTTATTTCTTTGAATTAACGATGACACGTAGGTGTTGAGATCACGTAAGGTGAAAGGGAACTAACGTTTCTTGAGCATCTACTGTGTGTCCAAGATTATGGGAGAGTATCTTGGAATTTGGTTGAGGTTGAGGATAGAGACAGGTGACAGAAATGTTCAGAGCGGGCCTTCAAAGGAGGGGAATTTGCTGTGTTTTGCTGGCCATGGAGTATGTTTTTCTCCACCTAGCAGTCACAGGGGAAGGTGTAGCCTTCACTGGTCAGATGTGGGGCTTAGTGACCAAAACCCTCGTGAATTGTGTTGGTGCGCAAAATCAAGATCTGCATGGACGGTGGGTTAGACACGAAGTGCCTGGAGAAAAGAATGTTCAGGAGGACACGGTTTTTACTGAAGTCTTTGAAAGGCTGCTGTGCTGTGTGGAAGATGGCGCAGACTTGTGGGAAGGTCACAGCTGTGTCCTGTGGGCAGAAATTTGAGGGGGGCAGATTTTGCTTCGAGCTTGTTATTACGGCACGCCATTTGTAAATAGAGTGGACTGCGTCGAGAAGGACCGAGCTCCCCGTCTCTGGAAGTACACAAGCAGAACTCGGCTGGCCATCATGACATGACTCTTGCATTAAGAAGGATGTTGACAGCTGACTCTGGGGTCCCTACACTTTTGACTGAGGCTGAGAAAGGCAGTCTCGTCGCCTCAGGTTCTCAGCCAATTCATTCAGGCGCCGAGATAGCCGTTTTTGATTTAATAGAAGGTGTTCAGACCAACACTTGGGTGTCACACGGCACATCTAGAAAGAGAGACAGTAGGAGAAGCAGAATCTATAGGGAGAGAAGAGGGAGAGGGATTTCTGCTGATGATCCAGAGCTTAGACACCAAGAGTCAGTAACACTCCATCTGGACCAGCTGTTTATACATCACTCTCCCTTAAGGGCTGTATCCAGTAGGGTCTCTATAGGACACAGAGTCACCTCGGGTGACACCCGTGAAGATGCTATAATAGATTACTGACAGAGATGTGGGTGGGGGAGGGAAACAGGCAGGAAATGGAGAGGCTCCAGAGACTAGCCACAGTGGGAAACCTTTACTACCCCCAGGCTGCTGGGATCAGAAGAGGAAACTGTGTTCTGGACCCCTTGAGAGCCGGAGCCATGGAGGAGGATGTCTCCTGAGGGAACTGCCATCATGGAGGTCACATCTGCCAATGGAGACATGTTTGTGAGGAAGGAGAGGAGCCAGGGAGGAATACCCCTGGGGCTTGCTCCTCTTGTCCTCCAGAAACCCCCCCCCCCCCGGGCCTCCTTTTGGTCAAGCTGATCAGAAACCAGAGGCAGAGGAGCCAGGAAGACTCAGTCTACAAGGATGAGCCTCCCCAAGTTCATAGCAGAAAGGGGAAGAGAGACGTGGGGGGAGGGAGGGGTGACAAACAATGGCCAGCGAGAGGGCTCCTTTCCCCACCCTTTGGGGCAGAGGCTACGGGCTGCCCCATGATCTCCTGGGCCAGAATGCAGACACATCAGAAGATGAGGGCAGGACCTCAACAAGACAGAGAAACTAGAATGAGTGAGCCTGGTCCCCAAAGCCCCAGGACTGCTGCCCTCTCTCCAGAGGGTACCATTAGGATTGTTACAGGAGAGAGACCCAAACAAAGCAGTGCTGGCTCAGAGGTGCCAACCTGGGCTCCCCACCCAGACTATTAGAACCTTTGGTGGCTTTTGAGAAGGACAGAGTCCCCATTTTCCAGGAAGCTTTAAGAGCTTCCTGCATGTTTTTACAGCGTGCCACAGGGATCTAGTCACCTTCTTGCCTAGGACCCCCCGGCCCCGAGACCGCTCAGAGCAACTGCAACCTTGCACTAAGAAGCTCTCTTCCAGCGCCGGCGTCCTTCCAGTGCTTTCTGTAGAGTGCTGGTGTCAGCCCCGAGCAGGGTGGGCAGGCCGCGCCTTGGTGATGCTGTAGCTCTCTGTCTCTCCTCCTCAGCTGGGCTCTCTGCCCTGCCTTGGCATCCTCGCCATCCCCAACCTCTCTGCCCTGCACAGCCCACGGGAGAATGACTGCTGGCAAGAATCACTTCCTGCCGGGTGCCGAGATGAGAAGAGATGGCCCGCGTTGCAAGCACCATCTCAATTTCTCTGTGACTCCAGTGAGCCTCCCCCTAGAAGCAGCAGGGGAGACAGAAGAAAAGAAGATAGGTTCCCCCCACCCACCCCCCAAGCTTCCTGCCTTGGTTAGGCAACAAAGCCTGTACAATTTGCCCAAATTACTGGCAATCCTATTTTGTACTGGTATTTCTTCAAGTTGCAAAGCAACTTCACACGGAATTTCACCCCGGCGGAGAAGTTTGGCAGAAGCAGATTCCATTCCCATTTTGCAGGTGGAGAAACTAAGGTTTAGAGGAGGACGGTATCTTACCCAGTGACACACACATGTACCCAGTAGCCAACAGGCTAGGAGTGAAACCTGATTTCTGGTATTTATGGCAGAGGACCTTCCCCTTGTCCTAGAGAGCCCCAGGTGATGAAAGAAAAGGTCCCTTATGAGTGGGCATTTTATGGAGTGACACATAGAAAATTCTGACCTTCTCCCTCTGTGCTGCCTTGGAACAGAGAGACAGTGGGTGCCCGATGGATACCTCATCGGGGCCAGTCAGGAGGTCAGAACCCGCCCGGCTCCGCAAGTGACAGAGAAAGTTTTGGACAGCTAGTCTAGATGCTCTCGGTCTGTGCTTTATGTACGACAAAGTGTTTTGAGGGGCCGGCGGGGGGGGCCTGTGTGTTTGTGGCAGTGGGTGGATATACGAGGTGGGTCTGTGATGTGCGGTTATGGGTGTGTTTGTGTAGACCTGTGCGTGTGTGCGCGTGTGTGTGTGTGTGATGGGTCTGTGGCGTATTGTGCGTGGGTATACGGCGTGTGTATATGTGCTGTGGGTCTCCGCTGTGTGGCATTTGTCTGTGTGAGTGTGCACAGGGGGTCCTTAAGAGTCTGGTGGTGCGGTACGCGTGGGTATGTGTGTGGTGGGCGTGTTCTCATCGTGTGGATGGGTGTGTGCTGTGCCACGTGTGTGAGCCGGTGCGGTACAGTGTGTAGGAGCGCATGTAGGAGGGGAGGGCAGGTCTGGGACAAACACCATGCCTCTCGCAGCACCCGTGTTGTGGCTGCCCCGCCCCCCCCGCCACGTGGCTCGGCGTGCCCAGCGAAGGCCTGTGTCAGCGTGTGTCCACAGGGGCTTCTTTTGTTTTAAATAAGGCCCAAATGCTTGGCACGGGCGGGGGCTTCACGCTGGTTTCATCCCGACCGCGGGTCTCCCTCTGGGCCCACCTGAGCTCCAGGGGCTCTTACACCCGCAGGAGAGCCTCCTCCCTGCCCAGGACACGGAGAAGCTGTTCCCCTAGCTTGACCCAGAATAGCCATGTCAACAACTCTATGTCCCTCCCACCCCTGCAAAAAGTCAGAACTACCGCCAGATGCCGGCCATCTCCAACCTTAACCCTGCTTGTGGGGGCTCGGGGAGGGGGGGTCCGGAGGCCTCCTCAGCTGTTTTCCTCCCTGGGAAGCCTGTCCAGACCTCCCTCGTTCAGCCTGCAGTGCTTGCCCCCTCCGCCTCACCGCAATCCTGGCCCCTTTACGGATGTCTCCTTTTTTTCTTTTGTCGGCGTAACACTCGCACCTTCTAATGCTGCTTACTTTATAGCCAGTGTGCTCCCTCTTGGTCCCCCTCAGGGGAACATAAGCTCCGTGAGGGCAGGGATCCGTTTTGTCTTTCACGTGCCTGGAGGAGCCTGCCCGGTGTTCAGAAGGGGCTGGAAAAGTATGTGTGGAAGGAAGAGGGGAAGGCGGGTGGGCGGGGCTTAGCCTCAACATTCCACCTGGGCTTGCGCTGTGGTGAGGGTATGGGGGTAGCTCCCTTCCTCTTGCTGTCCCCCCACTCACCACCCAGGGACAGCCAGGGGCCAGAGGACAGCCTCCGGGGCCACGGCTGGGAGGCCTGTCAACTCGGCAGCCACCTGGCCTGATGGAAGGGACAGCTGTGCGTGGGGGGAGGGGGGAGGGAAGAAGAGCGTGTTCAGTTTCTAGGGACGGAACTACTGCCTGGGATGCACTTAATTTAGCCCAAGTCCGGGGAGGTGGACAGATTAAGGCACGTTGCGTGTAGTTCTTTCCCAGAGCTGGGGGCCGCGGCCAGGACCCAGGGTTTGGTTTAAGTGTGCTACTGGCCAAAGGGGCCCGAAGCCAACCGCAGAGACGGGTGAGGTAAACACGCACTTGGGTCAGTCCTTCCTCCAGCAGCACAGGACAGCCTGACCTCGCCTTCCCCAGGGCCACGTTGAGCCAGAGGAGGCAGCATGCCTGTCTCCCCTCGGCGTCACAGCCTGCAACTCCCTTCCGTAGGTATGGTTGGTCTCATTGGGTTCCACAACCACCTGCCAGGGAGATAAAGTTTCCATTTTAAGGATGGCGAGGGAAGCTGCTAGGGCAGAATAAGTTTGCAGGGGCCGTAGGGGGCAGCTGGAACAAGGGCCCCAGCTCTCTGGGTTTGATCCCTGGTGCGGCTGCAGATTGGGCAAGCCACTGCTCATCCCTGGGACTCAGTTTCCCCACCTAAACAGGCCAAGCCCTGTCCAGTTGATGGTGCTCAGGAGGGCTTTGGTGGGGGCTCAGGCACATTAGGCTTCATACATCACAGCATGTGATGGAGCTTCAGAGGCTCCCACGGGAGCTTGTTCTCACCCTTTTCCTTCTTCCCACTTTCCTTCTCTTCCCATCTCCTTGTCCCTCAGCCCCGGGGCCATGGGATCTGAATAAAGGCCAAAGCAAGTCAGACTCTCCAGGACGCACTGCCCAGCCGCTGCCCCGGCAAGCAGGTGATGTGCTCCTTCGCAATCATAGTCCCTATGAGAGGACTAACACTTTATGGGGAGGACTCTGGTTGGGACTCTGCTCACCCCAAGGGTTGATTGATGATGGGGGGGCTTTTGGCTTTTGCTGCTGTGCACTCTGACTTACTTCACTTAGCGTAATACCCTCTAGCTCCATCCACATTGATGCAAGTGGCAAGGGCTCATTATTTTTTACGGCTGAGTAATATTACAGTGTGTGTGTGTGTGTGTGTGTGTGTGTGTGCGCGCGCGCGCGCGTGTGTGTGTATATACACACACAACTTCTTTATCCACTCTTTTACGGATGGATAGTTGGGTTACTTCCATATCTTGGCTCTTGTAAATAATGTTGTGATAAACATAGGGGTGCATGTATCTTTTTAAATTAGTATTCTTATATTCAATGGGTAAATACCCAGTGGTGGATAATATAGTGACTCTATTTTTAGAGTCTATTTTATTTTATTTTAATTTATTTTATTTTAATTAAATAATTAATAAATAAAAAGTTAAAATTTATTTTAATTTTTAATTTTTGGAGGAGCCTCCCTACTGTTTTCCATAGTGGCTGTACCCCACCAGCAGTGGACAAGGGTTCCTTTTGCTCCACATGCTCACCGACACTTGGTTATTTCTTGTTGCTTTGATTCTGGCCCTTCTGACGGGTGTGAGGTGACATCTCATTGTGGTCAATTGATTTACATTTCCCTGATGATGAGTGATGTCGAGTATCCTTTCATGTGTCTGCTGGTCATCTCTGTGTCTTCTTTGGAAAAATGTCTATGCAGGTCCTCTGCTCGTTTTTTGATCAGATTTTTTCTTACTGTGTATTCACTGTGAGGGGGCAAGGGGCAGAAAGAGGGGGAGAGAGAGAATCCCAAGCAGGCTCCATGCTGTCAGCACAGAGCCCAAATTGGGGTTCGATCTCACATCATGACCTAAGCCAAAATCAAGAGTTGGGTGCTTAACCAAAGGTGCCCTCAAACTGTTTGTGTTTTTGGTGTCGAGTTGTATGTAAAGACTTGATTTTCAGCCTGGTTCATGATGAGCACCCAACACGAGGTCACTGCTGGAATTACTATTATTATTAGAGCCCCTATTTCGAGATGTCAAAGCTGAGGCTCAGAGTTGAGGTGACCTTTCCAAGGTGACCCAGCTGGTGTTGAAGGATAATTGGGGTCATGACTATTTCAAGCCAAAATGTAGACTTTGAAACAGAGGAAGAGGGCAGAGGGCAGTTCTTTGAGGAAATGGGGGTGCCTAGTTGGTTATGGGAGGTCCTGCGGCCACCTGGACCTGAGGCTCTGCAGAAGGGCAGTCCTGGCTAGGACACGAGACACAGGACATGGGGACATCACAACAGAGGGACAGAGGGAGGATGGAGGTGTTGGGAAGGGGAAGGCCCACAGGCAACACAGGTGTTTTTCTCACCTGGAAAATGAAGTGATGACACCGTCGCTGGAAGCAGGTCTAGCAGCCGGCCCCGAACCAGAAGCAAGCACCAGTTAGTGGGCACAGGCTTCTGGGAGCCTCAGGCAAGACACAGCGGTCTTAGAGTCAGTGCTGCCCCCCTAGGCCGGGGTTCAGGGCCCTGCCCATCCCAGAAGGAGCCCCCAGGGGCCCCAGCATCTCGGCAGGATTACTCGTCCAACAGCCTTGTCTGTCCAATGGGGAAGCTGGGGCCCAGATGGACGATAAGTGACCTGCTCAGGGTCCCTCTGCAGAGCCACGTAGGAGCCCAGATCCCATTCTCTGTCCAACGCTCCCGCATTGCCCCACACCAAAAACCTAGATGGGGAGAAGCAACAGGGAGCTCTGGGGACCCGGTTCTCTAAAGACCCCAGGTCTCCAGTCCCTTCTAGGACTTCTCCCCTGTCCTGGGATCCCACCATTAGAGACAAGTTCCCTGGGAGGAAAGGACAGCTCTTCATATTTGGACTTAGCTTGTAATTACAGGCAGAGATTGCATAGAGTCAAAATTACCCTTGAAAACAGCTTAGGAGACACCTGGTGGACCCCTCCACGCAGTCCTTCAACAAACCCGTGACGGCAGGCGTTCCCCCGCCTTGGCTCAGAACCCAGTTTCTTTGGTGGACACCAGCTTCGGTGGATGAGGTCACTCATGAAAAGTCCCCTTATGTTCATTTGGAATCACTCCCAGCACAAAAAGGGACAGTCCTGTGCCAGGGACTGGGGACCTGGCCGAGAACGACAGATTCTGCCACCCCATCACACGCTCCATCCCGGCACACTGGGATGGTGGGGTCCCCCCCCCACTAGCTCAATCAGGATCTCCTCGGACTCAACCCCGAAAGGGCATACACACATCTGTGGCTGATGTGGGCTCAGTATCCGGATGGGGATAAATCACGCAGCTGCCCTGCATGCTCCCGGGCAGGTGACTGATCTGGTCCTTACCAGGCCCCATGGTTGGCTGGAGAAAGGGCATAGTGGGCTCAGAGGTCATCAGAACATCAAAACTGGGATCAAACCCTGCCTTTGTCATTTCCTATTTCCATGAATAAGTCAAGATTCTCACCCTCTCTTCTCCATTTCCGTATTTGTCAGAGAGAAAAAGTGAGATGACGGAGGATAAAATAAAGCAAGCTTTTCATGTAACAAGCATCCAGAAAATGGTAGTGAGCACACACACGAGCACGTGCACCCACATGCACACCCCTCTGCTGGGGGTGGTGATGGTGGGGTGATGATGGGGAAGAGAGGTCAAAAGGCCAGCACCCCAGGAGGCAGTTGGAAGAGGCAAGCAGAGACTTGGGGGGAGGAGGAAGCTGGGGAGGCTTAGAGGTAGGGTTGCTGTTGAACTAAGAGGCCCCAGTTCCAAGCCTAGTTCCGCTCCACCACACTGGCTAGAGTTTATCTTGAAAAGCCCACCCAGCCAGGGAGCAGAGGGGCAGACAAAAATCCGAGCATCAAAGCTGGGCCCGAGGTTTTCTGCCAAACGAAGAGCAGCAGGAAATGTGTCCCCCAGTTGAAAGGCCCCAAAACCTCGTGGGTCTGAGCTCCTTAAGGCTTCAGAGAACTGGGTCGAGTGGCTGGGAGACGTCTGGATTCCATCCAGACCCCTGGCTAGCGCTGCTCCGCTGTCCATTTGACTCATGTCGGGGGAAGAGAGAAGAGAAAACGGAGGCAGGGAGGGGAAGCCACGCAGCTGTTCCTGAGCTGGGGGCCTCGGAAATTTGAGCCGAGCCACAGGCAGCCGGCAGGCAGGAGAGGGCCTCTTGGAAGCCTACTTCTGAGGCTCTGGCCCAGCCTTGCCAGCAGCCTCGGGATTAGCTCAGCAGCCTTCTCTGAGCTCTGAACATCTGCAGCCTAGAGTCCACTTCCTTCTTTCCCAGCCCCATGGGGCAGCCCCCTGGAATGGGGACTGGGGTGGGGGCAGACAGCTGCGACCTGGAAAAGGGAGGGGGGGGGGGGCTGGCTGGCCTAAGATTTGGTTTAGGGCACAGCAGTGGTATAGGAATCACCCGGGGCCTCATTCCAGAAATGCTTTCCCCTTTCCCCATCTTGGGAGCCTGAAGGAGAAGGAGGTGAGGGGGAAAGGAAGGGAAATAGTATCTGCACAGACCCACTGGACACCAGGGGGATTCTGGCTACTTTACCTGATACTTAAAACTATGTCAAGGTCGGTCTTGTTATTTCTGTCCTTCGTTTGAGAAAAAGGCTCAGAGAGGTTAAGTAACTTGCCCACAGTAACCCAGTAAGTTAGTAGCAAAGTCCAGATTAAAAGCCAGGTCAGTCTCATTCTAAATCCTGAGCCTTCTCTTTATCCAGGGCCCAAAGAATTAGGACCAGGCAGGTGGGAACAGAATCGGCGGCTGGGACTACCTTATCTACCTGATGAAGGCCCAGTGGAACCATTGGCTGCATCACTAGGAGAGGGCACTGAGGACGAGGGAGGAGGCAACAGGCTTTGCCAATTGCTCCTGGACTATTGTGCCCAGTTCTCACATCGCGATGTGTCCAGAGGAAAAGAGCAGGTAGGTAAGAAGTCAGCTCACCAAGTCATGGGAGGCTCAGCTGAAAAAACTGGGGCTACATAACTTAGCGAAGACTTGGGGGAGGCTGGGTTGTTGCTGGCCCCGAGCAGATTGACTTGCTCTGTGGGACCCAGTCAGCCAGGATAGGCGAGGCATTGCTGCTGTCACGAACAATCCCCAAATCTCAGGCTTACCCAGCTAAGACTTATTTCTTGCACCCAGCACAGATCAGGGCAGTTTTGAGGGGGGGGGGGCTCTGCTCGTCCTGGTCACTTGGAGGGGGGTCCAAGCCAAGTGGGTTTTCCTCCAGACAGACATGAGCATAGACAAACCCTGCAGCATAGGAATGTGGTGAACTTTACACTGGCTTTTAAAGTGTCTGTTCACATTTCCTTGGTTAGAGGAAGTCGTGTGGGAATACCTAATTTCAGGAGGCCAGGAAGTACAATCTTACCCAGTGCCCAAGAGAGGGTGGAAATGTTTGACGGGCAGCACCAACAACTATCTCAGGCCCCAAAGGGGTGACTGAGTGTGGGTGGATGTACTCAGAAGTCAACTTTAAGTTCATTTAAGCATGATCTTCCTGGGAAAATAGTGAGTACCCGCCAATAGATGTGTGCAAACCAAGGCAGGATAGGTGCCCTGCAGGAAGGCGGGAGAAGAGACTCCCCTGTCACTGGGGTGATGGGAGGTAGCCTGTGTGGCAGTAAAGAGCAGTAGTGGTTGAGGCCTAGGGCTCTGAAGCCAGAGGTTCCTGACTTCAAATTCCGTTCTGTCTTACTAACTGTGTCACTTTGTGCAGATCACCTAACATCTCTAGACTCCAGTCCACTCCTCTGTTACATGGGGGCATAATAACTCCATAGATTGTTGTGAAGATTAAATGAGATAATATATGTAAAGCCTGTAGCACACCACACCTGGCACATGGGAAGCTCTAATCAAGTCAGCTGCTTTTACTGTTAAGTTCATTTTCCCCCTGAGATCCTATGACCCACTGCTCAAGGAATCTTTGGCAGTGTACCTTCTGGGCCTGTCACGTCCCTAAGACATTAGTCAGTGGCCAGGGCAGAGTTGGGAGGGTTCTGTGTGCTGGCTGAGCAGGCTGATCTTTCTCCACTACTCTCATGTGGTCTATGGAGGTAGGGTGCTTTCTGGAGCCTTCTCTAACCCACCCCTCCTCCTGCCTCCAAGCCTGACTGCAAAGCATTTACTCTCTTCAGTTCATCCCCCAATCTGCCCTGATAACCACTGAGCTAATGTATGTCTCCATGAGTTTGCCTTTTCCACAATGTCATATAAATGAGCCTGACAGTAGGTAGCCTTTCTGCTGTCTCTTTAAAAAAATTTTTTTTCATGTTTATTTATTTTGAGAGAGAGAGAGAGAGACAGAATGTGTGCACATGAGCGGAGGAAGGGCAGAGAGAGAGGGAGAGAGAATCCCAAGCAGGTTCTGTGCTGTCAGAGCAAGCCCCCTGTGGGGCTGAAACCCACAAATTGGGAGGTCGTGACCTGAGCCAAAACCAAGAGTTTGAGGCTCAACTGACTGAGTCACCCAGGCGCCCCTCTGCTGTCTCTTAATTAATCTACTTTATTGAAGTTGAGTCCTAATGGATGGGAGATTTCTGACTCCCCTCCCCCTTCTCCCTGGCCAGCTATATCGCTGGTATTTGTCCCTCGGTTGCTTGCTGTCTTTGTACCTCTAACCGCAGTCCATAGACCTTCAGCTGTCGACAGTATCCCTAAGGCTCCCCGCTTCATGAGACAAAGCTATCAGTGTTTGCATAAGCTTGAAAACGACCGTTGTAGAGACATCAGGAAGAGGTGTAGCCAAAGGAGATCGTGCGTTTCAGAAATGAGCACTGCAGGAGCGTAGAAAGGAGGAGGAAGTCAGGAGAGGCTTCCTGGAAGAAGCAAGGTTTGAGGGGAGCCTTGTCCGCTTACTTTTCCAGGGGCTGCTGCGGGTGCTCTCTGGGTCTGTGAGCCCTGACCTGCAGTACCTGATCACAGACACCAGGGGGGAGACGAGTGGCTTTGCTGGGACCTCCTCTGCTCTACGGAAGGTAGGCAGCTCAGCTCTCCCCACCCCCATCCCTTAAAGCAGGGGGAGGTGGAGTGACCGCAGGCTCTCAGCTCTCAGCCCTTTACCCTGACAGAGGCTTGAATCCGTGACTGCCGTCTGAGCTGTAGTTTCCAGGCCCTCTGAGCATTGATACTGTCTCATCTGTGCTCCCAGTTCTCCAAGTGTGGTCACTAGAACCCTCAAGTGGGCATCAGCTTGTTAGACGTAGATTCCTGGGCCCTGCTCCCCAGCTCTCATCAGAAAATGGGGCCCGGGAATCTACATGTTTAGTATTCAGCCCACCTTCCTCGTACACAGGAAAGACTGAGCACCTCAGTCAGGCTTGTCGTGATCTTAGCCCGTCAAACCTCTTCGTGTTTTCTCCCTAGTTTCCGCAGCAGTTTCTAAATAAAGGGTCCATGACTGGGGGAACATGGAATATTTGAAACCTGGAGATTCACAGGTCATACCACCATGTTAAAAGCTCTGTGGTAAAGAAGACAGCGTGACTTTGTTAAACGTAGCATTCCCCAAATTAACCTAGCCTCAGGCCAGACCCGACTCTTGCCTCCGTAGTCCCTGTGGACATCATGCACTTTGCCACTTCTATACCTCCCCTTAACTCTCACCTGGACACACAGGCTTCAACTGACTCCTCTTTCCCCAGGAAGGCCTCCCAGATCTCTAACACTGCCCACCCCCACCCCCACCCCCAGGGCTGGGGCGTCTCAGAGCTCTGGCAAATAACTCCACTTTATATCTTCTCTTTTGTCACTTCCTGGATGCTCTGCTGCGCCTATCTTAGTATAATAAAACTTATCCCCTCCCTTCATTCTTGGGGAGAAGTACAGGCACAGGACCTCCTGGAGGACATCTTCCAAGAGAGGAAAAGACCAGGCTCATTCCAGTCCTGCACAAGACGAGCCCATTCTGTAGCCAAAGCCCCAGCATGCTGGCCCCTGGTCCCTTCCCAGTTCAACATCTCAACAATCAAGGTTGCCCTGTCTCACTCGCCCCTACCCTGGGCTGGCCTCCAGAGCAGCGAAGGTAACCGCTCGGAGAGGACCTAAGGGCATTGCCCCGGAAGTCGGAGACGCCAGGATTCCCATTCTCCACCCATTTATTTAGCCCGGTGGCTCCTGGCTTTTGGATTTCAAGGGCCTACAAGCAAACCCACCCCCACATTCCCAATCTAGAAGACTGTATGAGGTTCCTAACTTAATATTTCCAAGAAACCCATTAAAATATTATCTGACCTGCACTTCGGTTTTCTCAAAAATGTTCCTGGAGCCTTTACATGGGAATCACTCATCATTTAAAAAAAAAAAAAACATTTTTTAATGCTTACTTATTTTTGAGAGAGAGAGACAGAGCACAAGCAGGGAAGTGGCGGGGGGGGGGGGGTGCGGGTGGGACACAGAATCTGAAACAGGTGTCAGCACAGCCCGATGCAGGGCTCAAACCCACGAGCTGTGAGGTCATGACCTGATGCTTAAGTCGAATGCTTAACTGAGCCATCCAGGTGCCCCGGGAATCACTCATCATTTAATAAAATGATCAAATACAAATTTTAAGGGGGCAACTGGGTGGCTCAGTCCATTAAGTGTTTGACTTCGGCTCAGTCACATGTTTACTGTAAATGTTGAAATGGGCCTTGAGCCTGTGGGCAATTGGAGACACCGCCCTTTGGGCCGAGTGGTTAGATGCTGAAGGTTGGGAACCTGCATGGTGGGTGGAAGGAAGGGAGGAGTTGTAGTAAAATGCTTTCCTAGAGATAAACCCAAAGAAGGTCATGATATAGCGATCCTATTTCTGAACAGCTGACCCAGGAAACAACAGGCTGCCTGACAGTCGGAGACTGTGGAAAGAAGAGCGTGTGGAAAGAAGAGTGGCAAGAAATTACGGAGATCCTTTTAAACTGGACAGAGGAAAGATGTTCTCGGAATCAGAGATGCCCAAATATAGAAAGTGAGCTTCTCATTACTGCACACAGATGTTGAATCATCATTAGCCTGGGAGGTGATGGAGAGGATTACTACATTTGAGTAAAAATAAGGAAATTAAGTAGAAATAATGAAAGTCATTTTACGTTTATAGTACTTGACATTTATTAAGTTGTTTTGAAGGGGCCCCTGGTGGCTCAGGCAAAAGAGCGTGCAATGCTTGATCTTGGGGGTGTGAGTTTGAGCCCCATGTTGGGTGTGGAGCCTACAAAAAAATAATAAAATTTAAAAAATAAAATTAAAACATAATAAGTTTATTGGGGCGCCTGGCTGGCTCAGTCAGAAGAGCATGAGAATCTTGATTTCCGGGTCATGAGTTTGAGCCGCGTGTTGGGTGTAGAGATTGCTTACACTTAAAGAAAAAAATCAAGTTTAAAAAGAAAAAAGTTGTTTTGGTACAACTGAATTTAAAAAAATTTTTTTAATGTTGTATTTATTTTTGAGAGAGAGAGAGCGCGCGCGCATGAGTGGGGGAGGGGCAGAGAAAGAGGGAGACACACAGAATCTGAAACAGGCTCCAGACTCTGAGCTGTCCGCACAGAGCCCGATGCGGGGCTCGAACTTGGAAACAACGAGATCGTGATATGAGCCAAAGTCAGACGCTCAACCAACTGAGCCACCCAGGTGCCCCAGTACAACTGAACTTTTAAATAGTTTTGGGAGGTAGATAAAAATCATTCTGATTTCAGGTTCAAGATAGCACATTGAGGACACACAGCACTGACCAAAACAGATAAAAATGCCTGCCTGGTGGAGCTTACAATCTAGAAATTCCATAGATTTTATATTATCCTTGTGATACTAGAACTTAGGGATAGGAAAAAATAAGACAATGCAAGGAAGGGGGCACCTGGGTGGCTCAGTGGGTTAAGTATCTGACTCCTGATTTCAACTCGGGTCATGATCTTGTGGTTTGTGGGATCACGCCTCACGTCTGGCTCTGCGCGGACAGTGTGGCACCTGCCTGGGATTCTTTCTCTCCCTCTCTCCATCTCTGCTCCGCTCCCACTCACGCTCTCTCCCTCTCTCTCTCAAAATAAATACATAAACACTAAAAAAAAAAAAAAAAAAGGCAATGCAAGGAAGAAAGGCAATTATCAACTCCAGGGAAAAAAGGCAAGAAAAACAATAGAGGCCATGTAATTATAGCATACTTTTGATTCCATAATAAATGATATTAATACAGTCATAACAATATAAATGCTATTTTTGATTTTTTTAAAACAACTTGTAGACGATGCATAGAAACTTAGTGATGATTAAAGACAGATACCAGTGTTAATCATCTTGACGATATAAAAAAATACATGTAGAGTCCATGGAAGACTGGAGTTGTGGGGGACAACGAAATAAAAACCAGAGGAGTTAATAGGCAAATTCTCCGAGTTGTTGAGCTACTGAATAAAGTTGAGAAAACAAGAAATAGAAGTCTAGGTACAATGTTTCAATGTTCAAATGTAACCACTAGAAGACAGAATTAGATGATGATGATAGATAAATAGATGAGAGATGGATAGATAGATAGATAGATAGATAGATAGATAGAACGAACAAAGAAGGACAAAGGAAGGAGTTTCTGTGAACCAAATTCTTTTTTATCACACCATGAAGTCATTAGACTACCTGAAGTTGGAAAATCAAGAAACAGATCCATAAACATTTGATTTAGATTTTTAGAGGCTAACCACCTGAATAAACAAAAACATAAATGATTAAAAGAGTTTGCCTTGGGGAGGTAAGTCAGAGGGAGGGAGGACTGGACCAAGAAACCTGTTTTTTATCACACACATGTATGTAACATATCTTTTTTTTTTTTTTAAGAACACAATGTAATATATTCTTTTCATCTTGTTTTTTAAAATTCAAAACTACCCTCATCACTAAAAAGGTGAAGAAACTGAGGTTCTGAAGAGGAGGTGACTTTCCTTAGGTGATAACACTAGGAAGGACCAGGAATGGAGGCCATATTTCATGACACCCGGTCCTCTGAGCTATATGGGGCTGTTCCAAGCAAGAGTTCTTTCTCACCCTGCCTCTATGATTCACCATCCATGCAGGCCACTATGCCTTTGCACCTGCTCTTTTCTCTGCCTGGGGTGTGCCTCCCAGCTTCTTGCCTTGGCATGTGCCTGTTCATATTCTATAACCCAGCACCATGTCAATGCCTTCGAAACTATGACTCTCTCTTTTCCTGTACTGTCCCTGACTCTACCATAATGCTTATTTCTGATCCCACTGGATCATAAATATTTGGTTACCCATATGTCTGCCCATCTTACTGTCTCATTTGCTAGACCGTGGATCCCTCAAGGCAGAGGTTTGTGTCTGATTCAACGCTGTACCCCAGCTCCTACCCCAGTGCCTGCCACAGGGCATTCAAAAGTGTTTGGGGAATTTGTGAATGGGTGGAGCACACGAGTCTCTGCCTCGAAGATTCTGGGCTGGTGGCCCAAGGCCCAAAGCCTGGCCACAGGCCTGACAGCTGTGCAGGAGTCTCCTCCTTCAGGTTCAAACTCATCCCTAAATGACTCCCCCACCCCCAACCATCATATGCTGTCACCCTCCTGTTTTCTTGTGCTTCTCTGACATGGCAAGGTTTATCTGCAAATCTCAGCACTCCCCAAAGGCATGCTTGAAGAGCCAAGTGGAGCCCTCCATCTGGATTGAATTAAATCACTGACAGAGTTATGTTCCCAAGTCAGCAGGGGTTGGAGGAAGGCTTTGGGGAAGGGACCAGACCTTGACTCCTTAGAGGAACTACCTCAGAAGAAAAATAACATGCTGGTAAGAGCTGCCCAAAGGAGTGGGAACAGGGAGATGCACGGACTGAGCTTCTCTCACTAGACGTGTATCTCCAGGCAGGATCTCGGTGCCTCTGGGCTGCTCATGTATCACCTATATCCTACAAGAGGTGATGCATGCTTTGTGGTTGGGGCATGTGGTGTGGTGTGGGGAGATTCATTGAGGAAAAGCACGAGGAGGTGTCTGGGACCGTGCTGGGTCAGCGGTGCTCAGTCTATGTATGAGCTTTTTCCTCCCTCTCCAGTTCTTTTTCTATTTTTCTCTTTTTTCCTGTTTTTATTTTTATCACCGTTATCCATGGACATAGTCAAGGAAGCAATTGTTCTTTTGCTACAAGAAAAACGGCTTTCCCACCCTGCCCTCACTATTTATTTTTCTCCCAAAGCAAAAAAACTTCCAACTCTTTTTATCAGTTCTTTCCCTTAACAATATGGTATTCACTTCCATATTCCAAAATAACTTGCTCGCATTGATAGTTTCTAAGTGCACCTGCTGAAGGACATCTTGGTTGCTTCTAGTTTGGGGCAATTATGAGTAAAGTTGCTGTAAACATTCACGTGTAGGTTTTGTGTGGACACAGGTGTTCAACCTATTTGGCTGAATACAAGGAGCATGATTTCTGGATTGTGTGGTCGGCTGTGGTTGGCTTTGTAAGAAACTTTCAGACTGCCTTCCAAAGTGGCTGCGTCGCTTCTCATTCGCACCAGCAATGAACGAGAGTTCCTGTTGCTCCCCAGGCTCGCCAGCACTTGGTGTTGTCAGTGTTTTGGATTTTAGCCATTCTAATAACTGAGTAGTGGCATCTCGTTATTTTCATTTATAATTCCTAATGGCACGTGATGTGGAGTATCCTCTCTTATGCTTACTCGACCTCTGTATATCTTCTTTGAGAAGGAATCTGTTCAGATATTTTGCCTATTTTTTAATTGGGTTGTTTGTTTTCTTACTGTTCAGTTTTAAGACTTCTTTGTAGACTTCTTGGTGTATATATATATATTTTTTTAAATTTTTTAATGTTTATTTATTTTTGAGAGAGAGAGAGACAGACAGAGTGTGAGTGGGGGAGGGGCAGAGAGAGAGGGAGACACAGAATCGGAAGCAGGCTCCAGGGTCCGAGCTGTCAGCACAGAGCCCCACGGGGGGCTCGAACTCACGAACTGCAAGATCATGACCTAAGTCGAAGTTGGTCACTCAACCGACTGAGCCACCCAGGCGCCCCAAGACTCCTTTGTGTATTCTAGATCCAAGGCTTTAGCACATGTGTGTTTTGGAAATATTTTCTCTCATCTTGGGCATGTCTTTTCATTCTCCTTGTGTACCGAACTTTTGTTCTGACTCCAGGTTTAATTTCTAAGGGTTCATTTTTGTTCTCTGGATATTTTTTCTTATGGTTCCTCTTTTTGTTTCATGTATGCCATACTCCTTCCCATCTCTCTGAAGATATTCAGGGCCATTTTTCCTGATGCTCTCCTCTCCCTACACAGCCTCTGTATCTTCCAGGTTGCGTTTGCTTCTTTGGAGAGGCTTTCCTCAAAAGATAAGAGATTCTTGGCTGTCTTCTTGTCTGAGGAGGACCCCCACATCTTCACTGGATGCTGTGCGCTTGTATACGTGTGTGCACGTGTGTGCGGGCATGTGTGTGCGGGTGTCTTTGGGGAGTGCTGCTTGGTGACTATGAACTTCTCTCTAGGCAATCGGGCCAGACATTTTGTCAGGGAGTGTCTATACCATCTGGGTCTGGGTCTGATAAGCCTCACTGCTGATGCTTTGAGATCTGAGTTGGGGAAGAAGACTGGAGGTTTCAACATCTATTAAGTAAACTTAGCTTTAATCCCATTTTGATACTCCATACCCATCCATGCTGCTGTCCTCTTGTCTGGATGTTCTCGTTTTATTGTCTCCAGAAAATGAAGCCTCAGGCTTCTGCTGAGGTGGAGAACAGACCATCCCCAACCTGTGTAGTGAGGGAGGGAATGTATCTTGGGGTTAAACTTCTTAGAGATTGTGTGTGTGTGTGTGTGTGTGTGTGTGTGTGTGTGTGTGTAATAGAGTTCGTTCCAAAGGGAAAATTTCATTTCACTGTTTCCTTTAAAATTTTTTTTCTTTTTTATTCATTTTAGAGAGACAGCACGTGAGTGGGGGAGAGGGGCAGAGGGGGAGAGAGAGAGAGAGAGAGAGAGAGAGAGAGAGAGAGAGAGAGAGAGAATCTTAAGCAGGATCCATGCTCAGCGTGGAGACCGTCACAGGGATCAATCCCAGGACCCTGGGATCATAACCTGAGCCAAAATCAAGAGCTGGATGTTCAACTGACTGAGCCACCCAAGTGCCCCTTCCCCCAGTGTTTTCTATTCTATAAGAATAGCATCTAACATCTTTTTATAGTGTTTGTGGACTTAAATTTTATAAAAATTAAAAAAAATGTTTATTTAAT